CCAAAACTAGTCTTCAATTTCATTGACCCACCTGTGCTCTCTTGTTGCACTGCAGTCAGAATTGCTGCACAACTACCCATTAAAACCCATGATATTTAAAAAAGCTGCATGACAAATGTTTTGAGTTCTTAAGATTAATTATCGTAATAGCAGCAGTCAGCCGAGAATGCCATATAATAATTGAGTTACCCTGAGCTTAAAGTCAGCAAACACCCCCTCCCCCAAATATTTTCTCATATAAACTGATTTTTCAACCAAGCCTCAGGCACTCTGTATGTTGTGGTTAATTGCAGTCCTCTTGATGTCATTTAGCAAAGTAATTCATTCACTTTTTAATAGAAGTCTTTTTGAAACTATAGACTCTGTTGTTTATCTTTCTTTGTGAACAGTGAAGTAAATTATTTTCTATTTATTTATTTGTTTTTACTTTTTGTAGTACTGGAGAAAATGAAATTGGAATTAGTCCATCAAGATCCTTGGCTCAATAACAAAACCACTTTAGAAGCAACCTGTGTATAATGAAGACTTCAGAGTAACCAGCAAGGAAGGGAAAACTTAATTTTCAAGATACCATATTTTCTAAATGTTACATGGTGCCTCAATTCCATTTCTTTAGATGTTATTGCTTAAATATGATCTTAAAAAGTTTGTCTTGTAATATTGTACATATTTATTTTCAAATGTATTCATTGTTAATAAGCTAAGAAGTCTATTCCAGGATTATGTACATATCATGAGAGTTCTAGAGGAATTGTATGTAGAAATAGTAAAACACTTTAGACTTTGAGATTAAAGTGTTATTTTTTTCCTCTCATATCTTCACTTCAGGACAGCAGTTACATGAATTTGGATTAATTGTCTCAGTTTGGATTTTTTTGTTGTTGTTTCACCCTCCCTTCCTCCTTCTCTTGCTTCTTCCTTCCCTCTTTCTCTTCCAAGCCACTGCCCCCGCTTTTGTTTGTTATTTGTTTTTGCCTAATTTACGCATTTAAGGTTTTACTTAAAGTTTTACTTAAACATTTACTTAAAGTTTTACATGGTCTGGCTCATTCTTTTACAATTTAAGAATTGTTCATATTTCAAAAAAACAGTCATTTTTCTCTTATGTTGTTTTAATGAAAACTACAGTTCACAGTTCTCCTAGATTATAAGTATGTAAAGTAGACTATGAAAATGTAGCTATCTGGTGTGAACAAAATTTCTCTGAAAAGGAATTTGGAGGACAGAGACTTTGCAGTTTGCAAACCGGGTAGATGTAGCCTTTGGTGTGAAATGAAGGTGCCTTCCAGAGAACAAAGGGAGTTTCGGCTTTTACAGAGAAAATTCCCACCCAGGTTCCCAATCAGGTTCGTATATGCAAATGAAGGTATCAAACTTGCTTAGTTCTGATTGGTCAACACAGCTACGTTTTGATTGGTTGATGCAGGCCACAACCTATTGGTTAGTTCAGGAGACAAAAAGTCCCAGAGTTAAGCAGAGGTATGGGTTTTCTAGGAACTCGGAATAACACGTGTGACCTCCAGTTAGCAAATGGCCATTTGGATCTATTTTAAATTTAGGCCCAGTTAGCCAGTCAGGATCGATCTTGAGAGACTGGCTCTTTCAGGTTCACGTTGGATAACTGGCCAAAAGGTAATATGACCACAGATGTTAGTATTGAACATAAGACATTTTATACATATTCATGTAAGACAATATAAATTATTTCTGCAATAAATTCTTTTTTGATGAAATTTAGTTTTCAAAACCTTTTTGAAATAGCTCACCTAGACCTATTAATTAATGTATTTTATTCTTTCTAATCAAAG